CCAAGTCTCCCTTAACTCAGTAGGGACATTTAGGGAGAAAGAATAGAGAGATTGCTTCCATATCCGGCTTTGTCAGGCAGCAGCCAGGTATCAGGAGAGCCTAGGAACTTCCCTTTGCAGGCAATAAAGGAAGATGCACAGAGGACCAAGGAGGCACGGGGCAGAGGTTTTTGCTTCCTAGCAGCTGGAAGCACAAGAACAGACCCCAGAGGAGTGGATTTCAGGAAGGAGGCAGCCTGCCTCTGGCCCGATGGCTCCTCAGTTTCCTCCCTCATATTTAGGGGACCTGCAAACAGTGGCCCCCTTTCTTCTCCTCATCCTCAGGATCTGAAGCTGGGCCCAGGGGCCCTGGGGCCATGTGTGCTGAGTTTAGAAGCCCGTCCTTTCTCAGGAGGCTGATAAGACACGGTACTCTTCTGCCAAAATATATAGTTCAGGTCAAAGCAGAGCTTCTAATTAGTTCTTTACTGGTTTTGCTGACAGTGTCAATACTCAAAATATACACAAAGCCATGAGGGGCTTCTACTTTGGGTTTGGTTCGTCAGAACTAGAACAATTTCTGCCTGCAGAGTGACCACTCAATGAATTATTCTTGGTTGGTTTACTCACTGGCTAAATAATGGTGAATGACTTAGACTGATTCTCATATATCTTGAATCCCAGCTTTCTTCTCACTAGGGATATCTGTCTTCAAATATGTGACAGGCTGTCACAGAGAAGACAGTAAGAATAGTCTGTCCTTCCCCAAAGGGAAGAAGCTAGGGATACTAAGTGGAAACTACAGAAAGGCAGATTTCTGCTTAACACAAGGAAAAATGTTCTAATAACATGAGCTGTACATCTCTGGAGGAGGTTGCCTTGAAATGTCATTCTTCAGGCATTCATGAAGTCTGTGGAGAAATTGGATAATATATCTTTAGGTTTTGGTACTTTTTGATTGGAGAGGAAATTCGCACAGATAACTAGGATCCCCATGTGTAATCCCTAGAGTAAATAAATAGTACAGCAAGTTATATTAAACATAGTATAGATTCTTAATTTTATTGTTTGGGCTAATTCTTGCTTTCAATATTTGCATTATTAAAGATAGCATAAAAGAAACTTTAATATTCATGGTGCACACAGCAAGGCTTAAAATCTCTTAAGTGAAATTAGAGAAGTAACTCATCACCACCCTCACCATTCGGGACAGTTTTCCAACAGAGGTAAAATATGTTATCTGTGGTTCAATTAATTCATTCAGTAACTATTTCTTGGGAACATTCTATGTCCTAGATACTGTGGTAATTATGGGGAAAATTGTATAGTGGTAAACAAGACTACTTTATGGTACTGACTTTCCAGAGGTGAATACCCACAAATAAGCAGTTACAATTAGTGTCATCAGTGAGGTGGGGAGCAGTATAGGGTGCCAAAGGAGAACCCCAGGATATCAGAGGGTAACCTTACACACTTGTTGGATAAGAGAGGATTTCTGAAATAAATGATGTCTGGACTGAGACACGAAGAATGATCTAGAATGGGAATTAGCTGGGGAAGGAGACAGAGAAGGACAAGCAGTCTCCTGGGAAACGTGCTGAGTAGTCGCTGTTGTATCTTCACCTTCTTGCTTGGTGCTGTTCTTTTGACTCAATTATTTGGAAGATTTTCATTTTAAAACAATAATTTCTGCACTTTGCTGTTTAACAGGAAATTCCTTCATTTCTACTACCTTACTGGGAACTAATAGAAAATTCTTATATAAACACCATCAAAACAGTGCACAGACATCTGAGAGAATATCAGAAGACTGTGCTTGCTTACTTATATGAGATTAGGTAAGCAAAGTTCCCAAAGTCAGAATTTTATAGTTTACAGGCTTCACATATAAGATCCTTCTCATTCTCTTGTTGCCTGCAGGACATGTTTCCGGGAGTTTCTAAGGCGTCCAGAGTATAAGCAAGATTTTGTATCTCAGTGGCAGGCTGATTTCAACTCCCTTCCTGACGACCTGTGGGATGATGAGGAAACAAAGGCTGAACTTCACCAAAGAGTGAATGTAAGGAAATCTGTGACCTGCTGGTACAGGGTTGCCAGACTTTCATATCTTGTTCTGTAAAATAGCAATTCATTCCCTTCTTACCTTCCTGAAATATGAGGATGAGAAAGGAGAAGGTCTGAACTCTTAACCAGCTAACTTTCAAGATCAGTAGCTTGTCTGCACTTTGAGTTCAGAATGAACCATGCAATGCTTCTGGGAAGAGGAGCCAGAAGAGCATTACTAGCTTCTGTCTTGTAGATTTCGAACCTCTTTGCTAGGCCACATAACTATCTTCATGGCAGCGTTATTCATGCGCCTGTCTTCAGTGCAGTTCTACAGCTGGTTGATAGCAAGGAGAAAGGGAATGAGGGAACTGCATGGAAAAGGTAAAGGGATGCCTCTATTGATTATCTCTCAAGGAGAGATATGGAGTATTAAATGTTACACATCTCTGTGCCTCCAGCAAGCACAATGCCTGTAAGTTGGTAGACACACAGATTTTCATAAGTTCATAAATGAAGTATATTACCCTGATATTTTAGAACATGGCCTCTGACATAAGAGAAGCTTGACTCTTTTTTACGTAAATTGACAGACCTTCTTATCACTTCGGAAGGCTCCCCTGTTGCTACCTTAAGTATAGGCTACTAAGAATCAGATCAGATTATGACCTCAATATGTTTTTGTGCAACAAAAACATTGCCAAACTCTTTTCCAATGGTCTATTCATCTGCTTAATACGGACTGAGCAGCTATCAATCATGGTCCCAGCACTTACAGCTCCTCAAGGGGCTGGAGGGTTAGCAGTGAAAAAAACATCTGAGACCACACAGTGTTTAAGTGCTAGTGGCCAAGAGACAGAGAATAAGCAGTGACAAGTGAAGATTAAGTGTGTTTGTCACTGGTAATAAGAGCTACGTAGAGAAGAAGAAAGCAGGGCAAGAGGAAAAGAATGTATGAAGTACCCTTTTTTATATGGTGACTGTGAGAAGTTCCATGGATAAGGTGGTGACATTTGAACAGAGACAGGACAGAGTGATTGAGTGAGCCAAGTACATGCCTGAAGGAAGGGTCTTCAGGCACCAAAAGGACAAAGGCACTGTAGGGGGAGGATGCATGGTGGCTGGAGCTGGGTGAGTGGGGCAAGAGTGGCTGGTGATGACATAGGCGAGACCGACATCGGAGGGGGCCAGGTTATCTAAGGCCTTGGAAGTTATTATGAGAATATCAGTGTTGGTCTGAGTGAGACAAAGAGCCTTGGCTTCTCACTTTAAAAGAGTCTGAAAAAAAAAAAACAGCAGGGAGACCAGCAGGAAGACCAGCTGGGACACTCTTGTATGGAGACAATGCATCATGGGGGCTTGGGTGCTGGGGACAGAGCTTGCAAGGGTTTACCCCACAAGATACTCAAATGTTCTAGAAAACTAAAATATTTTGCATGTTCTTAGACATTCCTCAAACAGTAACTAGTAATTACAAATCCTAAAACTGTCCTTTTCTACCTTTTCCTTTTTCCTACCTATCCATAAAGCAAACAGCCCTCCTGCGTTCTTCCCCGTATTAGTCAGGTGACTGCTGGCAGAGACCGAGAAGGTTTGGAAATTTGAAATAGCTTATTTTTTTTTCTAATTTGGAAAAAACATGCATCACATGTTTATTGTAGATAAATTAGATAATAAAAAGAGTCAAAATTTAAAATGACAAATCTATAATCCTACCACCAATAGTCACTAGCTGGTGCATGTCTGAATATCTTTCCAATTATTTTTATAAAAATATAATAGCAAAATACATACTGTTTTGTAACATTCTTTTTTCAACAATAAAAGAGGTTTTCTTTTTCAATAAAGATTCATCTACAACATCATTTTCATGACTAAAAGATATAACTAATGGACTATATCATAATTTAACAGATTTTTTATTTTTAATCATAATTTTATGAAAAGAATTATTAAACACCAACTTTTTATTTGGTGTTAGTTAAGATAATTATGTAATAAAATTTCATCCAGCTAAATATTGACAACATCCTTAATTATATCCATGCACAAATTTCCAAAAAAGCAGGAACTGAATTTAAGATTATGCTTATGTTTAAAGCTTTTGAAATACATAAGTTTACAAATTGCAAAAACTTGAAAAATTTGAGAAATTTGCACACTAAAATCTTGTAAATTTCACTCCAACTTACAAATGATACAAATGTATCAATATTAGATTATTTTGCTAGTCTTTGCTAATTTAATGGGTAAAATTATTAATGTCGTCTAGTAATTTGCATTTCCATTATTACAACTAAAGTTGACCACTTTTTCCTAAGTTTAATGTAACTTATTTTATTCCTCCTGAAACCCGTAAATAAGTTCTCATAATTTCTGCCCAGTTTTCTATTGAAGTGTGTTTTTTATTATAGACTTCTAAAATCTCTATATTAAGAAAATAAACCATCTATTAATCATATATTCCAAATACTCTTCTAATTTGATATTTGAGATAAATTTTAATATGCAAAAAGTTTTTAATGTTTATAGAGATAAATACATAGCATTTTTATTATAGCTTATTTGGGGTCGATTTAAAAATACTTTACTCCAGAATTATATACAACTATCACACTATTTTTAATACTTTTATAGTTTTATGTTTCACTTTTAAATGTTTAAATTATTAGGTTACTTCGATAGAGATTTCACTTTAGTTTTTTTCAAAAAATTAATCAAATTATGTGAGAAAACTCTGAAACACCTCAGCATAGACTTACATATGTTTATTTATGCATATATGTGGATATGTATTTATCCACCATAACTACGTATGGTAGACGTACTTCCTTTTTTATTTGCAACTTATTATTAGATGTGAAAGAATAGAAATAAGTATAACTTCAAAAAAGAAACTAGAAAATAAGCCTGAGAAAAGGAGAACGGAATATGTGAGAATAAATTTGCCAGAAATTGACAACTTGGCCAATTTAAAAAAAAAAATTAAACTTAAAATTCAATCTAGATAATAAAACAGAGAAGCCTCTGGCAAGAATAGTCAAGGAAAAAAAGCAAACTTCCTTTGTGTAGAAATTGGTATATTAGAAAATAGCCACAGATATTAGAAAATAACATACAGTTTCTACTTGGAAGGTTTAATAAGTTTTGGCCAAATGGATTTCATTACAAAGGTTTTTTTCATCAGTAGATCCTTAGCAGGCATATGCAGTGGAGGAGCTTGTGGAGTCTGAAAAGATAAAAGCCTGCCTCTTCTTCATACCCTGTGACCAAACTCAGGTTTGGGGGGTGTGTCACCTTCATTTGTTAAAGTGTTATATAGATCATTCTGATTCAAACCACAGGTCTGTTCTCTTTATACACTTTTATACCTGGATGATCTCGCGAAACCTGATGAAAGTACACTAAAAACTCCTGGACTGTTCCGTTTCTATTTTCCCTGCTGCCATTTTTGACTTACTGATTCTAATGCAGCAGCAGTAATAGCTAAACGCTGGGCGTGTGCTGTGTGCTGCCACTGTCCTTATTCCCTCAGCAACCCCCTGAGGTGGGAACTAGCAATATTCCCATTTTCTAGGGGACGAAATATGGCAAAGAGGTCAACATGGTAAGTACTAGTATCGATCTGTGCCCACGTTGCCTGGCTTCACATTAAGTTATCTTTGCCACAAAGTGCATTTTAGTCTTGAATCTGACTTTTATCTGGCATTAATACTATGAACTTTGTTTTATTTTTAATTCGTATCTGCCTCATGTAAGTTTTTACATTTGACCTTTGGGGGTGGTTTTATCTTCTACGTCTTTTGTAAGTACCATATAAGTTGAATGTGGGTTTTTGGCCCAAAGGAAAATTATTACAACTCTTCTAAAAATGTATATTTTTAAGGAATTTTGTCTGTATGATCATCTCAATTAATAATCTGGTCTTTCTTAAATACAATGCACCTGTTGATTATTCAGACATATTTAGGAATCCCCTAATTCTTGCAAAATAAAGATGAAGACCAGCCATCCCTCTGTGTGAGTCCTGAGTAAACATGGTGTTAGTCCCAAGGACATTCCTTGTCCTTGGATTATTCATTCCAGTCCTAGGAAGTTAACAGAGAGCATCTGCTATTGCATTGCTCTCATTTTGCTTATTAGAAAACTGAGCCACAGTCTAATGTTACGTGCAAAGGCTTCACAGCGATTCCATAGCAAACAACCAGAATTAATGTGTCTTCTCCTATCTTAAAAAAGATGTAAATATTTGATAAGCAAAAGTTAGTACTTACTGAATGCCTGAACAAACTTCTGTGGACACACCATGGAGATAGTAAAATCAGCTCTAAAATAATGGTGTATTGTTCTGATAATGGCTTGTGATATTTTCATTTCACGTGCAGCCTCCACAGGGTAACAAAATGCCAAGGTAAGAATTCAAACACAAAGTTTGGAAATACAATTCACTATAGACACACATGGAAAGGACTCAGTATGTGATAACCCCTGTTATTTTGATTATATTTATAAAATATTAAATGTATAATTTTCTATTATATCCAAAATATATCACAAATGTATTATATTTCATTATTATGCATAAATGTATAAGTTTTATGTTTCATTCATAAAACATAAATGTATTATATTTCATTATTATGTACAAATTATATTATGTCACAAATTATTATATTTACATTTATCTTATTATTACACAGGGTCTGGTAAGTGGCAGAGCTGGGATCTTTAAAAGACTATTTTACTGCTATCTCTTCAATACAAAGCTTATTTTTGGACCATCCAATTAAACACAGACATTTTTTGAAGAATATTATGTCCCACTGGTAATATTAATTAACAAGCCTATGTACTTGGCTTCTTCTATAAAGAATACACCATATCCCAAAACTTCACTGAGATTTTTCAATCAAACAGCTTTTTTGAGGAAGAATTGAGATACATAAAAATGTAGCCATCTGTGGATAAAGTGGACTTCTGGTGGATAAGGCCATCTGATTTGGTAAGGGAATCTTTGAAAAAGAGAACCTGACAGAGTAGAAGCAAAATAAATACTGGCTGAAGGAATCAGTACAGCACATGAGCTCATTAGGTATAAAACTTCCATAGAGACGTTGATAAGTGAGGCAAAGTCTTTGTTTCCTTCCGCTGATGTAACGTGAGCCCTGATTCTAAAGCATGACAGAGATGTTTCTCTTGTGCCCAGGATCTGCGAGACCGCCTGTGGGACATCTGTGAAGCCCGGAAGGAAGAGGCCGAGCAGGAGAGGCTGGATGTCATCAATGAGAGCTGGCTACAGGACTCGTTCGGAATACTAATGAACCATTTCTTCTCACTGATGCAGGTAAGAGCAGCTGGTCACAGTGACACGGACTCTTCCCTTCACAGCCAAGCTCCTCATGTAGCTATTCCTTTGGGAATGTTTGGGGCCTGTTCCAGGCTCATTTTACCTGTGGCTCTCTGCCTGGGGTGAGCTCCAAGGAAGTTCACTGAAATAAAACATTTTGACCTGGGCCAAAAAAGCACTCAAACTGGAAGCCCCTCATCAGTTTTGCTCCAGGTGGCCTCGGTACGGAAGCAGGTACCGTGTCTACAGCTGAGTTGTTGACCTTGTCAGCTTCTCAAAGCAGACATCCTAAGTGGCCAACCAAACAAAGCCTGGGAAAGCAGCCCTGCACAAAGCATAGGCAAGATGAGACACAGCAAGCATTTGATTCCTAAAGATAAAAAGTTCCCAGGACTGGACTGGAAAAACGGACCATTCATCAGAACTCACAAGCTATTAAATAAAAACTGCACAGGGCAAGCTAAGATGAGGGATGATTTTATTCTGACACTATTGCTAACAACAACTCAGCTGTGCCAAGACAAACAGCTGGAGAGTTTTTAAGAGGGAGGGAGGGGTTAAGGGTGGCGGGTTGTAGGCCGTCTCAGCTTGCTAATTGGCCCTACCCAAAGAAAAAGTCAGCTTTCTGCTATCTTCATTATGAGAGGTAGTTTTATAACTTGGAGCCAGGCACCCAAGGAAGTTAGGCTCCTACCCTATAGGATCTGGGAGAGGGAGGCACTATCTTCCCTCACAATTAATTACATGCCAAAGAAACAGTTCTTAGGGACTTGAGGCTATAAGACTGCTAAAAGGCTTTTAAAAATATTTACATCTCAAAGGGACAGGGTAAGGATTTACAAACCCAAGCTCTCTTAAAGTAAATGATCTAACAAAAAGGGAGGTCAGAGGGCGGAGAGTCAGGAAGAAGCCTGTTTAAAATGTAGTCAGTCTCAGGGCTGTCTTGGTCAACTTGTGTCTACTTGAGTATTTTTTCTTAAGAGAATAGCAAAGAAGATAGAGAGTGGAAAGGGTACATTCGTAGTCTTCAATTGATTAACTCACATGAAAAGAGAGGGCAGGAAAATGCTCCCTAGGGCTAGAGCACAGTGGGTGTTCAATAACTTATTTGCTCAACAAATGACCAAGGAATGCTGATACTTCTCCAACCTACAAAGGGACAATTCGCCCTGTAGGGACAGGCTGTAGCAGAAGCTTGAAATATCAGCAAAACTTTGAGGAGCAACAGCAGCCCTGGGGGTTGCCGGCAGGAAAGACCAGTGCAGGAATGTGAGGAATCTAAGTTGCTAAGAGAAGTTGGAGTTAAGGAATTCATTTAAAGCAGAAGACAGAGCTGGGTCAGACCAATTGATGCACAGAGCATAGGTTGTCCAAAGGATAAAAATGAGACCCTGAAGCAGCCTAAACCATTCTGGGTAACATCCCTTGGACAGGCAGAAATAGGATGTTTCAAAGAGCTGTGTCAAAAACTTATCGCAAAAGTCACTGAAATTCAATAATGAATGCACAGTGAACAGAGAAATCTTGTGAATCATTCTGAATTCAGTACAATACGTGCCTTTGATGGGAATAGTATGACTCATTTCAGCAATACCCAGACTTAAGGCTCTACTCCAGCAAAACTGAACCACCATCTAACACCAATTAAAAGTAAAGAGGATAGAAAGAGCACCAGATAAAAGCTACATTTATTAAGTTCTCACTATGTATGTGCCAGGTAACCTTCTAAAGACTCATACAAACTAAAATCAACCTTCACTATAAACCCTATGCTGTAAATTCTATTATCTCGATTTCACAGATGTGGAAACTGAGGCAAGCAGAGGTGAAACAACTTGCTTAAAACTAGTAAGTGAAAAGCTAGGATGTGAACTGAATCTGATTCCAAAGCCAGTATCACAGTCCCCTCTTATCTGCTATTTTGCTGTCTGCAATTTCATTTACCTATAGTCAACCACAGCCTGAAAGTATTAAATGGAAAATTCCAGGAACAAACAATTCATAAATTTAAAATTATGCACCATTCTGAGAAGCGTGATGAAATCTCACTCCATCTTATTCTGTCACACTTAGGACGTGAATCATCCCTTTATCCTACATACCCATGCTGTATACACTACCCACCCACTAGTCACTTAGTAGCCAACTAGGTTATCAGATCGAACAAACATAGTATATATAAAGTTCAGGACTATCCAAGGTTTCAGGCATCCACTGGAGGTTTTGGAACATAACCCCTGAGGGTGAGAGGGACTACTGTGCTCCCACTCACTGATTTATTGTTCAGATAGTTGAAAGCTTGCCACAGACACCAGATGAGAGCGTTATTTCCCATAGATTGATAGGATCCAATAAAGACCAAAGGTGGAAATTACAGAAGACAAGGTTTGAGTTTAATATATGAAGAAATTGCCTAAGGATTAGAACTGCCCATCAAATAACAAACTTTTAAGGCAATGAGCTTTTGTCCAGGAAACCCAAAGGCAGAAGCTTGCATATGGATGTGGACGACTGGGAAAAAGCATCCTCAAAAAAATTTCCAAGTAATATTAGGCCTGTAATATTAGGTAACAGACAGGTAAGTATTTCCCAAAGTTAGATAAGTACCAGTCCTACAAGATATTTCACAAAATAAGTCATTTGCTCAACTCCGTGAACAAACGACTTTGGGAAGTGCTGCAGATCCCACCCTTTCCTCTCCCTGGGATATTGACAAGCATGTTCGTGTAACAGACATCACCACACACTGCAGTAAAGAAATCCTTTTGGTCTATTAATTCAACATTTCTGAAGCTATTTGACCTTAGCAAGTTTTTTGTTTGTTTGTTTGTTTCATCCCCAACATGGTACTCATTAACAGCCTGTAGCACAAATTTTCTATACAAAATAACTTCAGACCAGAAGTTCTCAACCTGTGGGTCGCAACCCACAGGAACTGTATTAAAGGGCCATGACATTGGGAAGGTTGAGAACCACTGCTTTAGACAATGCTATGCTAGACTGTTTCTGAAATTCCTTTTAAACCTCAGATTTTGTGGCAACAAGAACCTCAATAAAGCATTATTTACTAGTTACCACAAATGTGAGAAGAATTTTAATTATCTCTGCTTTTATGGCAACTCTGAATATTGTGTGGCATCTTCTTCAGATTTAGCTATACGGTTAATCAAATTATGCTTTTTTTTGAGACAGAGTCTCACTATGTCACCCTCGGTAGAGTGCATGGTGTCATAGCTCATAGCAACTCCAAACTCCTGGGCTTAAGCAATTCTCCTGCCTCAGCCTCCCAAGTAGTTGAGACTACAGGCACCCACCACAAGGCCCAGCTATTTTTTTGTTGTCATTGTTGTTTAGCAGGACCAATAATTGTGTAATAAGGCAAGCCTAAGGCACAAATGCCAACACTGCTCCAAATACAAATTGTATAAAATAGGTTCTGCTAAGCCCAGCAGTTATTAGAATTCAGTTCTCTGGGTTAAGAAATAATTTCCTGATTTCTAAATTTATTTCCCAAATAATATAAAGCTATGGTTTAATGACTAATAATTTTTATATTCTTTCCACACTTTTTATCTATTCTCCAAAGTTATTTATCAACATCCGGTTTGTATAACTTGTGTTTACATTTGCCTTCTAGTCATTGTACATGTGGCGGTATGCAAGTTCACACGAGTATCATTCACAAGACTCAGTTTATCTCTACTGCTTTAACAAAATTAATCATGACAGGTGCAGAGCCTGTCAAACTGTAAGATTAGTTCATACATGACCATTTTACAACTTAACTTGGTTTTCTTGCGAGGAAAAAGAGAAATGTTTAGTTCTTCTCGTCATTTCAAAATGCTATTTGAAAAATTGCTGAAATATGTGTTTATGCCTAAGATCCAAGGAGATTATTTGAAATATGTTCTGAAAACAATATTTGAGTGGTAGTTTTATTTTTTAGCGTAGATTTACATTAACCAGATGAATATTTTTCTCAGTCATTTAGCTAGAAAAGTTTAATAATACAGAGAACTTTTTTCAAGGAGCAAATAAGCTTACCCTTTTTATATCAAAAACAAATTTATTGAAACTCATCTTTTGTTATGGAGTACAACAAAATAGAACAAAATAAGGCATTAAATATGTCAGAAGAAAACTACTTGATGTTTTATGAAATAAATGGCAACATAATTGTTTGATAAGTTTAGAGATTCCTTCATAAATGTCTTTGGGTTACATTTAGCTAAATGTTTTGAATACTGGGTCAACACAAAAGCTTCAGTATTTTGAGTCTCAGATACTGGGTTAAGCAGCCACACTAACTAAAACGAAGTCTGGAGGTCACGTTTGCACTACCGAATATTAACAGAAGCGCAAATTTATATCACGTGG